CCACCCCCTAAAACAGTAACCTGAGTGTTGTAAAATCAGGTGTGTCTAGGTAGAGCTGGACTTAGGTGAAGAACAGTCTGAGGGGTGACTTTCAGTCCTTCAGTAGGGCCATGCCAACCACGTGCTGCTGCTTCTCAGCAAATCCCCCAGAATGTTACTGGCCAGGCTAGGACTTCACTTCTCCATAAACACACTCCAAATATTTCCACTGGGCTCGTGCTGTATATTGCTAGTATTACTTAACTATATTCTAAAGAGAAATTGAGAAGGCAGTGATTAGATATTAGAACCCATGTTATTAGATTTTATTTTCTTGGTTAATTTACTCCCTGACACTATTAAAGTGAAACAAGGAGGTTGGACCGAGTGACTTCTCAGGGCTTGTCCACATGATGGCCAGTCCAGGTTCTAATGTTCAAAACCTAAGAAAGGCTGGGGCTAAGGCTTTCTCTGAAGAAGTCACAATGGTTATTGTTCTCATTCTTCTTCTTATTGCTGCAAAAAGAGATTATAAAAGAGACTCAGTAGCCTTGGCTGGTTTGGCTCAGCAGTTAAAGCATCAGCCCATGGATCTGAGAGTCCCAGGTTCGGTTCCCACTAAGAGCACGCACCTCAGTTGCAGTTTGTCCGTGTCTCCAGTTGGGGTCGTGTGAGTGGCAATCACTCCGTGAGTCTCTCTCACGTCGATGTTTCTCTCTCTCTCTCTTCCTCCCTCTCTCCCTCCTACTCTATCTGAAGATAAATGCAAAAATGTCCTCGGGTGAGGATAAAAATAAATAAAAAACATAAAAGGGTCTCAGTAAATGTTTGTTGAGTAAATAATGTATGGCTTTGCTTGATATTTAAATTCCCACTAGGCACAACGGGGAAAACATCCTATAGATGCCTTTGATGGCTCTGTAGAAAGTAAAGTAAAGCCTAAATCTTAGAGAAAGAACACTCCTTCCTCCGAGTCTCAGTAAAGTTCTTTTAGCCTAATCAGTTCTCACAAACATTAGCCAACCACAGTGCCGGCCTTTTGAAAACACCAGCAAGACAAGCATTAATGAAAATAAGCCCTTGCAGAGGTCCAAGTAGCTATCAGAAAATTAGACATCAGTTTCTAGGCTGGGAACTCTGAAGCAGAAACTTAGGTTTTCTGAGTGAAATCAGCAGAAGAGATGACAAACGGATACAAGGAAATTAATATAGCACCAATAAAATCCAGTCATAGCTGGATTCTGGCAGCTTAGTGACCTCGATAAACTAATCCTATCTCACTTCACTAGCCATTCAACTGCTCTCCTACCTTCACAAGCCCCATCCCCCTCATATACCTATCAACTCAACCAAATTCCACCTCTTCCCATCTAATTCTCCATTCTTTTTTCCACTCATTGCCAAATCTACTCTTTGGGGGGTCGAGCTGTATACAAATATAAGTATTCATTTGGTAAAACTTATGGGAAAGATGTAACAGTGTATATTGTTAAAAATAATTATGTATACAAACATAGAGAACAATCATTAGTGAACTGGGACTGAATCTCGTGGAACAGGACAGAAGTCACAGCTGGGATGCACCCTTCAAATGCAGAATGGATTCACCATTCCCTACCTGCTGTTTCCCTACCAAGAGTACAGACAGAACTCATTAGCACACACAAAAGGTGTCCCTCTCCCCTGGGCTAGAGGTTGATGCAGTCAATAACCACCAGGGGGAATGTTACATGTGGTTTTTTTTTCTTTTAAACTTATAAATATGAGCAAATGGCTCTTACATATTTGTTAAAAACTTAGTAGAAGGCACTAAACGTATTCTAGGATTCATTACTCTAGTAGTTAATCAGGAACAATGATCTGCCTGAAAAAACTGGAAAAATCTATTCTTCTAACTAAAGCAACTGCTTCGTGTTCCTCTGGGCCTGGGAGAGGACATCATGGACTATTGCTATTCATGAGTTTATATTTGGAAATCAGTTCTAATGTTTGCTTTTGACTCCTCTCCTATATTAAAAAAGAAAAAAGCAATGTCATGGTTTAATGCACCATCTACTACAGATGGAATTAACTTACGCAAAAGTCCCACATTTACAAAAGTCTCTCACAATGTCAAGAGACTAAATCTCAGAGTAGATCTGAAAATAGACGAGGAAATGACTTATGTCACGTAGGGTAGACAGTGTGGAATAAAGGGGAAGGAAGATCAGGGATTTATCTGCAGCCACAGAACTTTGTATCATGGCCTACATATCGAATCAGAATATATTACACTTGTCTCCCATCCAATTGAGACTGATTTTATCCCACACCTTCAAGAGACGATGCCACCCTGAGTCTGAGTCTGAGTCTGAGAGCTGCCCTCACAGGAGGTTGGGGAAGAGCCCACAGCGTGGCCAGCCCTGGAGCAAATCCCTCTTCTCTCCAGCGCTGCTCTAGAACCACATCAGACCTGAGAAGCAGACGCATTTGTCTTTGATTTGCTTAGAGTGCTTTCTTAAAATAGTGCTAACATAAATAAGATTCTAGTTTTCAAGAAGGATCTATGTATAAAGGACCATTTTCCAACACACTACCACCTAGTAATGACATCATAATAGATGACTATCTTTTATGGCAAAATGGAGAATGCATGGATAGATGAGGTCATCATGAGAAGCTGCTCCTACTGCCAGTTACTCAGCTGACCTCTGAGGAAGGAACACAGTCCTCAGGATTCAAGAGAGATTGCCCAAGTTTTTTATTCTACTCCCCAATAGACAAGAGTGTTTATAAATGGTTACCTCCGTGCAGAGGAGGAAGGTCTAGTGGGCCCAAACAGCTACACTGAGAGTGACACTGCTCCCACGGAGCAATAAGAAGGCAGAGAGGCAACAGGATTATCAAGGCAGAAGGAGGGCAGATAATACATAAAAATGTTTGTATAATGGAGCAAGATGTTGTGATTGGGTGGTTAGTGCTGGACACTGTCCTCCCTCGCAGGCAGTGTGACAGAGCAGAGAAAGCAGACTTCCATCCTGTCTCACCTGCCCTCAGACTACATCAGCGACTTACAATACCCGACTATTAGTCAGGGGCACAGACCTCTTTTTCCTTAGATTGTCAAATGAAAAACTTTAAAAATGACAACATCCCTGGCTGGATGGCTCAGTTAGTTGGAGCACTGTCCCATACACCAAAAGGTTGAGGGTTCAATTACTGGTCAGGGCACATACCTAGGTTGCGAGTTCAATCCCCGGTTGGGGCACATAAGGATGTTTCTCTCTCAAATCAATCTCTCTCTCTCTCTCTCTCTCTCTCTCTCTCTCTCTCTCTCCTCAATAAAAAGCATATCCTCAGGTGAGGATTTAAAAAAAAAATCCCAGCTGGTGTGGCTCAGTGGACTGAGTGTCATCCCATAGACTGAGAAGTTCTGATTCGATTTCCGGTCAGGGCTCATGCCCGGGTTGTGGGCTTGATTCCCAGTAGGGGGGCCTTCAGGAGGCAGCCAATTGATGTTTCTCTCTCACATCAATGTTTCTATCTCTCTCTCCCTTCCTCTCTCTGTAAAAAAATTAAAAAATTTAAAAAATGACAACAGCCAACACAATAATAGCTGTCTGGTGTGAATGAATCAAAATTATACCTATTTTTTTGTCAGATCATCAAAAATTATGTTTTTTGGTGTGCTGCAAAATTTTAGTAATTAATTTGTATGCCGTGAGATTAAAAAAAAAAAAAGGTTGAAAATTATTGGGTTAGATGATCGTGGGTAGTTTCCCTTAAAATAGGGAAAAAACCAACCTGTCTTTGTCGTTGAGAAGATAAAAAAGACAGCTTGTACAAAAGCCACAAAAGGTCATTCAAATGTTAGCCTCCCACCCCCCATGCCCTTTCCTTCTCCCACTTTCTCCCAGTTGCTGAAACCCACAGTGGCTCTTCCATCTGATTAAAATAACTTGGGAAACTTGACCTTGCTATATCCAAACTCCACTGACCTCCACAGAGCCACCCACATAAGTTCTCATGGTAACAGATGCAGAGGCTGAGTCAGCCTCTAGAGCTTTCACTCTCCCCATCCAAAGGACAAGTTTTCTCTGGGGATTGTACAACTTTGATGAAAAAAGACGTCACGGGAACCAGCAGTACAGAGAGGATTTTTCACATGCTGTCCTTGTCATTAGAAAGTTGCTGTATCATAGCCTTCAACTTTGCAGGGAATGCTGCGGAGAGTTCACAAATGCTTTTGAGCCAAATGTGGGTTCTCATTAAAGCTATACTAGATAGGATCCTTTCTCTAATAAACCCGAGCATCACCGCCTCTCAGGAAACTAGGCCTCATGGGAAAAAGAAAAGCACAAGGACACCACACAGTGGGCCTGTGGGAGCTAAGGGTGCAGCAGGAGAGAAAGGAAGAAGAGCCTTAATAAGGTCAACTAGAAAGAATAGGTCAATAAAAATGCCTCTTTCTGTCCACTTCAGTTGGATTTTTATATAACTCTCTGCTATGAATCTTAAAGACTATGTTATAGGTATGTACGTGCTTTTCCCTTTTCTTGCTTAGATAAAAATGCCAGGCAGAAATGGGTTTAGTTAGAAGGAAAGAGTTCAAACACTGTAAATGGGGTAAAAGCAGGGTTTTATAGCCAAATGGAGCTTTAAAAAATCATTTTTCTTTTAAAATTTTGTATATATTTATATATCTAAGCAGTTGTCAGGAATCAATAAACTGATATGAGTACTTCACATTCTCATGGAATAGGTCATTTATTAATGTTTATATTGGACTTCACAATGCTCAGAGCACTGTCTCACAGGCTAACTATTAATTAGATCCTAATAGTAAGACAGGTATTTTATCCCTACTTTTATTTAACAGACAAGGAAATTGAGGCTAAAGGAAATTAAGGGATTTCCCCCCAAGGTCTCACAGCTAGTGAGAGTTAGGGCTCAAACCCAGGTCTCCTGATGACAAAACTGTTCCCTCCACACCAGGTTGCCTCTCACTAATTTCCCCCATTACATAGAACAGTGGCTCTTACCTTCCAACTCTTCTTTCTCATAGTGAATGTTGAGAATTGTGCTGGTCCCACCCTGATCCACCACAGCTTCTTCATCTGGTCTCTGTTAAAACATAAATAAATAGTCATAATAATACCCATACATTCATTCAAACATTCAGTTAAGTACCATGTGTCAGACTCTTTATGCAACACTTGGAAGAAAAACACAATGGTGTATATATATTTTTTAATTTGAACCTCACAATAACTTTGAGATACAAGCATGGCAGCCATTCTCTTTCTCATTTTATAAATGAGCAGCCTGAGACTCAGAAAACATTAAATAATTATTGCTCAAGATCCACAAGTAGGATAAAAAGCAGAGTTGGGACTGAGGACAAGTCTTATGACTGCAGATCTCATGCCTTCTCACCTCTGCACTCCATTTATACATCCATATAACAGGCTGGCATTTTGTAAGTGGTGCCAACCACATTGTCTCAGTTTGTGTAAATTGGTCTCCTTAACCTCTGCAGCACTTGAGCCTGTTTAACTCTCTGTCCTTGAAATTCTCCTTCCTGCTCCCTGACCAAGTCTTCTCTGTCTCATCTTAAGGCCCATCTTCTTTCTCTAAATATAATTCCCAAGGAAGAGTGGTCTACCTTTTTGTTTCCCTCACTTGAGTATTACAATTTCAACAGCAGAAACAGTGTGTCTCAGTATCTCACAAACCACTGGGATGCCACACCTCAAGACTCATGTGTCTAAAACCAAACCAATCTTCCTTCCAAAACTAGCAGCCTGTGCTCATTTACTTACTCTTTTCTATGGCCCCATCATTTCTTAGTCCACATTTGATTTATCAAACATATTTATTCATCCATTCCATATATATATGAAGTGCCTATTATATGCCTTCAGGGAAACAGTTCTCTTTTCTTATCAAGGCTTCCTTTGCAATTTCCCTCAAATTCACTCTCATCTCACATCCACTCTGTCCCATACTCTCCAACGCTTTCAGTCACGCTGAACATTCTCTTTTCAGTTCTGGAACCATACTCACTGTCTTCCCTGAGCGCTGCTCCTTCTGCCTGCAGCCACCATCCCTGCCTACTATCCCCACCCCCAACACCAGCAACTAATAACTTACTCAGCATCCCATAGATCTCAGCCTAAATGCACTTCTTGGAAAGCCTTCCCTGACTACCACTCTTCTAAACTAAGCTAGGCCTCCCAATTTTTATGCCCCACAGCACACTGTACTTCTCCTTGGGAGGGACCGCATCTGTCTTCCTCACCACTGTTTCCCCAGCACTCTGTACAGACTTTCCAAGAGTAGGTGCTCAGTAAATCTTTGTTAAAAGAAGAATATAATGGCACCTACTTTATCAAGACCTTCACCGTACCCTGAATTATTTAAAAAATATATCTTAGTTGATTTCCCTGCTAGTCTGTTTTCCTTACCAAACCTGCAGCTCCAGCCAGGCTTCTGATCCCACGAGCACCATGCACATTCCCACCTTCATGCCTCTGCTCACAACTGTCCAGTCATCTAACGCTCCCCCTTCCCCAACTCTCCAGCACACAAGTCCTCACCATCCTTCCAGGTCCTGCTCAAATGTCCAGCTTACTATTCTAATTTTACTATTTTGTAGTTATCATCTATGCCTCCAAATAAGGCAACCCTGAATATAAGACAATTCATTTTTCTAAAAAGAAGATTCAAAAAAAGTTTTTGAGGTCAATTTAAATAACCTTTTAGGAAAGTAGATGAAATACTCAAATATCACCTTAAAATATCTTATTTATTAATTTAGTTGTATAGACATATATTTAAAAGTATATATTATTACTACTATGGAATAATCTCCAAAATATAATATTAAGTATAAAAATTAAGGTGGAGCCCTGGCCAGTTTGGCTCCACGGTTAGAGCGTTGGCTGGTGGACCAGAGAGTCCCGGGTTCAATTCCCATTAAGGGCGCGTACCTCAGTTGTGGTTTGTCCCCAGCCCTGGTTGGGATCGTGTGGGTGGCAACCAATCAATGTGTCTCTCTCACGTCAATGTTTTTCTCTCGCTCTCCCTCCCACTCTATCTTAAATGCAAAAATGTCCTTGAGTGAGGTAAAAAATAATAATAATAAGATGGACCCTGGCTGGTGTGGCTCAGTGGTTGAGCATTGACTCATGCACCAAGAGGTCTCTGGTTTGATTCCTGGTCAGGGCACATGCCCAGGTTGTGGGCCAAATCCCACGTTGGGGGCATGCAGGAGGTGGCCAATTGATGCTCTCTCTCACTGATGTTTCTCTCTCTCTCTCTCTCTCTCTCTCTCTCTCTCTCTTTCCCTTCCTCTCTAAAATCAATAAAAAATAAAAATTAAGGTGAAAAAAACTACAATTTTTGTCTAAGAAAGGGTTTTGGGCCAAAAGCATCTGCTTATACTTAAAAATATATAAGGGAAGATTATAAGCCATAAAAGATGTTTTGAAATAGTTACTATAGACGGAGAGAGGACACAGAGGAAAGGAGACACAGATAGAAACTAAAATTCTATGAAGATACCTTATTTTATAAATATTTCACATAATTTTAAAACAAAATTTTAAATTTTAAAAGCAATTCCCAGAAATCAAAAACAAAATAAAAACAAATGCCAAATTAATGGCATAACTATTCCAAGATAAATTATTCCAAGTAATTTTAAAATATAATAAGTTGAATATCCTTAGTGGGATATTCCCTAAGGACAAAAAAAATTGGAAAAGATCTTAAACTGCTTTTTAGCTACCATATTGTTGGTTGTAGTGTCGGTGTTATTGTTCTGAGACTGTTGTGTATTGTGAGATCAAACAAATAATTATGTGAACTTTTTCTGTCACAGTGTGACTGAGAATTGGGGTTCTCAGCAGGGGTGAAAAGAGATATAATTGTAAGATAGAAGTCAAGTAAAAACCAATGTAGTCCTGAATTAATATTGGAAGTATCAACAAGAATATATGATGTATTTTTATCTGTAAATGTTTTTAAATTTATATTTTCTAGCTCTGTCCACTCAAAAGCCCTAGAAAAAATGGTCAGCCGATAGCAATGAGTATCATTAGCACCTAAATTGTGGTCTCTTAAAGTACCATTTTCTACTAAAAAGCATACAAAGACAACTAGAGTTGTGTTAAAAGGACTCAGTAGCCAACTTGAAGAGGTCCCTTGCCAAAAATAGGACAATTTGATAACCAATAAGAGTAATAATTGCAACAGATTGAATATATCAAATATATTACAATCCACGAGTTCATAATGTCACCTCAAAAATGAACTGATTGGCCTGGCTGGTGTGGCCCAGTGGACAGAGTGTCATCTTATGGACCGAGACCTCCCCGTTAGATTCCCAGTCAGGGCACATGTCCGGGGTTCAGGGTCAATCCCCAGTAGGGGGTGTGCAGGAGGCAACTGATTGATGTTTCTCTCGCACATTGATGTTTCTATCTCTCTCCCTAAAAAAATCAATAAAAACTTCTTTTTAAAAAAAATTAAATGGCCAACATTGGAAGATAATGCTAATAAACTAACTGATAAAAATTATTTCTGGTTTTCCCATATAAATTGTACCATAGAGTAGATGAAAGAAATTTTTTTTTAAATATGTTTTTATTGATTTTTGAGAGAGAGCGATAGAAACATTGATAAAAGAAAAACATCGATCCACTGCCTCCTTCACACCCCTCACTGGGGATGGAGCCCACAAACCGGGCATGGGCCCTGACCGGGCATGGAACCCGGGACCTCTCAGTCCATGGGACGACACTCAATCCACTGAGCCACACCGGCCAGGTGAGAGAAGTTTCTTATTATAAAAAAGAATAAGTGGAAAAGGAGTGTTAGAATTAGAAAATTGTTGTTTTGCAGTCCAAATGGATTGCATTGATTTTCAACAGCCACTAACATCACAGAGAGAGAGACAATCATTTGCCTCCTAATGGGAGACTTTATCACCACCCATGAGGCAATCTTACCAAATAAATTGTCCCTGAATCTGATCAAGCCTCTAAATCCAAATACCAATTTACTGAAAACACAGTGAATCAGCTCGACCAGTGTGACTCAATGGCTGAGCATTGACCCATGTACCAAGAGGTTACCAGTTCAATTCCCGGTCAGGGCACATTTGGCCCGTGTTGTGGGCCAAATCTCCGGTGGGGGGCATGCAGGAGGTAGCCAATCAATGTTCTCTCTCATCGATGTCCCTATGTTTCTCCTCCTCTCCCTTCCTCTCTCTAAACTAACTGAAATAAATTTTTTGGTTATTTTTTAAATACTTATTAAAAATTATGACTTTTGAGACAATGGAAAATTTGAATATTGACTAGATCCTTCATGTTTTTAAAGAAATTGTTAGTTTTCTTTTTAGGTTAGTATTCTGCTTATTTTTTTAAGAATCCTTATCTTTTAGTGATACATACTCAAATATTTATAGATAAAATTGAAAGATTACAGATATGTAAAATAATAACTTAGAAATATTAGTTTATTATTACATTTTATAAGTTGTTTTTTTTTTTTTTAATCCTCACCCAGGGATATTTTTCCATTCATCTTCAAGATAGAGTGGGAGAGAAACATCGACGTGAGAGGGACACATTGATTATTGCGTCCGACACAACCCTGACCAGGGCCGGGGACAAACTGCAACCAAGGTACGTGCCCTTGACCGGAATAGAACCCGTGGCTCTTGGTTCAAGGGCCAACACTCTAACCGTTGAGCCAAACCAGCCAGGGTTACATTTTATAAATGTTATTAAAAATCTTCAAATATACCTTTGACATAAATGTTTTTTTTTCCCTCACCTGAGGACATTTTTGCATAGAATGGGAGGGAGAATGAGAGGGAGAGAGAGAGGAAGAGAGAGAGAGAGACATCGATGTGAGAGAGACACATCGACTGGCTGCCACCCACACAACCCCAACAGGGTCGGGGACAAACTGCAACCAGCGTACGTGCCCTTAGCGGGAACCAAATCTGAGTCTCTCTGGATCGCAGGCCGACGCTCTATCCACTGAGCCAAACCGGCCAGGGTGACATAAATGTTTTTATTATCATAAGTGCTTTGGGTCAATTTTCTAAG